TCAAGATTGGTAGCTCTGTTGGTAACACTTTAGTTAAAGCTGTCATCTAGTATAATACATTATACATACCTTCATAATCCATTATAATGGTTGGTATAAGAATTTATAAAGCATTGCAGCATCTTCTATTGACAGTCATAAGGAATTATAATGTTAATTATACTACCTCCTAAAGCTCTCATCTGTACCACACTACAGATACCTTCATAATGCACTATAATGGTTGGTATAAGAATTAAGGATGCTTTGTACAGCATTATGAAGGCACCGACAGAGCATTATAGACAAGACCATCATAAAGCATTCATAATGCATAATAAACATGGCTATAATGTATTGTGCTTTTTTATAAATAATTATAGACACATTTACAATGCTTTATGAATGCATTATAATGTGTTATGAATGCGTTCATAGATTCTAAAAAACATGGCATTCATAGAAAGTGTTACCCAAAACATTACTGAACCAAATCTGCTGGGAACTATTGCAGTATTGCAGCGTGGTATCATGCAAATCAAGAAAGTAGGAATGCTCGTCTTGCTAGTTGTTAGGAAGAGGCAATTTAAAGGAGCAGGAAGTGTGTGGCTATGTTTGGCAGGGGTCCCTGGGTGTGTAATCCCACTGTCTGGATTCCAGTAACCTCCCGCTGATAGATGGGACATTGCATCAGTTAATACCCAGGCCCAGGGCTAACTAGCCATTGGATATTATTTGAATGCTTTCAGCTTTAGGGTTTGGCTGCTTTATATGCGGCAAAGAGGATATAAACTGTAATTTAAAAAGTCTTTGTTGCTTTTTCACCAGCTGTCTGGGTCAGCATGACACTGCAAGTTGTCTTCTTTTTATTTAAATAAATGAAAGTAAATGACATTATTGAACATTTCTGTACTGGTTTGAAAGACTGTTCAACCAAACTTTATTGTATTAAGTTTGATATGTTGCCATTTCTATGTGCTTCTGGATTTGAATTTGTACGAAGCTGTGTTCTCCTGCAAGCAGTGAATTGTAAAAAAACCTAAATGCACTCAACAAGTACAAAAGAAAGCATGTCTTTGTGTTGACCCTTGTTCTTGTCTGCTTATAGTTACATGGTAGTTCATTCAATGGCCTTATCAGATGTTCAATCCCCATGGAAAGCTTAGCTATGTTGCCCTTCAGGTGGGAAAATTGCCTAGTTTACTGAAATTAAAGCATGTAAAGCTAAGATGCCATTTGTACCTGTTTTTCCCCCTGTTTCAAACACATCAAAAGGATTTGTAGAGTTAATGATGGATGACTGAATTTATAGGATGTTTTTCTTGTACCTAAATAATTTATGTCTGGGGTAGGAAACTTCCTTCACCTGCCATCAATATGTAGTTGCTGACTTTGCATTGTAGCCATTCTGCTTTATCCTTCCCATTAGCTGCCTGATCGCTAGCAGCAGAACGTGAATTTGGCCGTAACGCTATTGACCTTCTCCTGGGTTGCTAATGACCACAACGACCTTGGTCTCATATGAAGGACAACACAGTGTGTTCCATGAAGGTACCCATCAAGCAGATGCTACATAGCTTCTCTGCTGGTCATGCAAGGATACATCCGATGATGGGGAAGACTTTCTAGTAGTTCTGTTCAATTTAATATATTTTTATATAGTGTCTTTTACAAAGGTTCCCCAAGAGTGTGTAGCAATCCATTATTACATTATTTGTACCAAAAAGACTCATGGAACATGGAAGAGGGAAATAAGAAAGCCAAAAGAATGCTAGTAGGTAATACACCCAATTCCTGTATTGTTTACATGTTTGTATGAATCGCTGTTAAGGAAAACACATCATTTTCATTCAGCAAAAATACATCATGTACCTTCGTCTTATGAATTCAACTTTGTCGCGTATTATAAGTGGTAGAAATCGACTACCCTCTCAGCCACGGTGCAGGACCATGTTATACTGAAGGGACCAGGGAAATTGGAACACGTGTGTGGTGGAGCACAAGGAATCCGTACCGACAGAGCTGGGGGAGGAGGGTGGTGGGTAGTGGAGAGGGAGCACAAAACAGGGAGGGACAGCAAGATCTGTGCTCCGGAGATCAGTCATGTGTAAATAAAGCTGAAAAAAATGACACAAAGAGTGGGGAAAACAAATCAATAACTACTTTCTGTCCTGGAAAACAACCGTGTTCTCAAAGACTTGACATGGTTTCAAATTGTTTTCTTTTCATATGTTTTTAAAGCACAGTTATATAAAATATAAAAATTAGACTATTTTCGGAATATGCAGTGATGAATATAATCAGGCTTTTCAATGGGATTTCATTATACTGTGATATTTACAAAATATAGGATGCTATAATTATTAGAATAAAACAAGAATACAAACTAATGAGCCCATTATTACTATGGTGCCACAAGCAGATGGTTCATTGAGTAGCTGGTAGACTCAACTGAAAATGCATCATTGATGAACTGAGCTTCATTTAAGCTCCATGATGCCCAGTGGAAAAGCCCACAGTGCTGATGTTCCTCTCAGCTTAGTGTCCATCTCCTTACCTTCACTCCTCGGACAAGAGGGCTGATTCCATCTGTCATATCATCAATAAAACACGTAGCCTCGCTTCTAAGAAGGCCTTTTATGAATTTTCCCCAGAGAAACATTTCTTCATTAAAGAAATCTATATATAAGAAAGAATAATAACAAAATGCAACAATTTGCAGAAGATGACCTGAGGCAAAAGAGGATGTCTAAATCAGGTTATGTTTTCTGAATATTGATTGACTACCTGGGTGCGGACGGAGAAAGAGAGAGTGTAAAATACTCCCAGCAAATTCCAGGGTGCATATGTACGAATAAACGAATCTCACCTTGCGTCACGCACAGGGGAGGAAGTGGAACAGAAGGGAACAAGCTCAGAAATGCACGCAGAGCTGGGGGAAAACTGGGCAGACCCAAAAAACGGCAGCGGTCACTGCCATGGGGCGCGGCTGGATCGCGGCTGGATCGCGGCCGAGCGGGAAAGCTGTTCCTAATTCCCGGTGCCTCCGTCTCCGCAGGCGGCTGGATCTGCATTCTGAGGCTGAGGGATGTGCCAGTGGGTGGGTACTTCCACCAGGGAACAAATGCCCCATTATTAGTGGAAGACTCATATTTCCCACTAAACACAGAGAAGGACAGAGGGCAGGTCATTCTGGGATGTTAACGCAACAGCCTTTCCTGTTATTCTCAATGCTTTGTCAAGCATGTGTTGGAGGTACAGAACCTGAGGGGGAAATGTGCAGCCAGAAGGAAACAAACAATTATTAGTAAACCCCATAGTCAAAGAAGCAAATAAATAACCCATCTTTGATACAAATGTTCACCCTGTTTGTAAGGGCAGAAGTACATACCGTACAATGACTGTCATGTCAACATCATAAGCTACAAAAATGACTTTGCATGTATTTCAATGCAGAAACATTTATGTTCCAGTTTAAACTGGAACAGAAAAACAAAGCAACAGTCACAGTTTCCAGAATGGCTACCAAAAAAGCTATGTAGCTTAATTCCATTTTGTGTGATTTTTATATTATTTTTCCACTTTTGGAAAAAGCACAGTGCCTCCTGCTGGTCATTGTGGACATAGCTGTTTTAAGTTCCTATATTAGAATCTGCTGTCACTCTTCTCTTAGGGTGGTGCTCCTGCATCCCAAGCAGAGCTTGTTGAAGGTCTGGGACCAGGGGGGTTTGGAGGATGAGAAGGGTCACCGCAGAGATGCCCTTCATTGGCTGAAGTGCAGGATTTAGCACTTAAAGAGCAGGCATCCCATTCTCACATGTAAGAATGTGCTAGAAACCCCCAGAGAGAGCGTGACCTTATGCGGCAACATTGTTTCATTTTGTTTAATATCAGGCTGTGGACTGACAGGCCTCAAGAGGGATGATTTTGCTAGGAGGTCCTTCAAGATGAAGTATAGATGTCCCTTACTTTACAATAATTCGACTTTTCGACTTTGCGACGCACATTCAGTCATCAAACTTTGAATTTTGGTCTGGAGATGGCAGCATCCATCCAGCCACGCTTCCAGTGTCTGTAGTGATCGCAAGCATAGACATTTCGTACAGTGTTTAACAACATATCGTACTGTGATTTTCTCTGTGTTTAAGCAAACGTTCCAAAGTCTATTGTCTATATTGTGTCACATCATATTAATATTTGACTTTTCACCTTATGATGGGTATATTGGGACGTAGCACCATCGTAAGTTGAGGAGCATCTGTACTTCTGTTTTGCCAAAACTGTGTTAAATTTAAGAAATGGTAACGCTACCAAAAATAAAAATATAATGATTTACGAAATATGAGGGTTTATGGTGGATTTACAAATGATGAATGGAGGTTTTGTTTGCAATGTGTGAGGCACTCTGAAAATGTTCTCGTTTACTGGCATGGTCTCTGTCTCGGTGGTTATTTTGACGGACAGTACTGGTGTCACTGCGAAGGGAATGTTAAACATGGGAACCAGGCATCTGTGGTCTCACTCCTGGGGAGATCTTCCAACAGATGGTCCCTTACAACACACACACACACACAGACACACACACACACAAATATCGGGTATACCTTTCCTTATGGGGTCCGCTCATTCATTTCTATGGGAAAAATGCTAATGCTAACTATGACAACCTTAACCCCCACCCAGCCCTAACCATAACCATAAGTAACCAAGCAAAATACAAGAGTTTTTGCATTTTTAGTTTTTTCATAGCAGTCACCGATTTGTATAAAATAGAGTTTTCGCAGGATACCGGTCCCCATAAGGGAAAAAAAAATGGATATTTATCACGTTATGAGGACATTGTTATGGGGACGTTATGGGGACACTCACACACACACACACACACACACACAACAACCACATAGATAAGCAGTTTGTGATGGATATAATGCTCAATTCACAAAGCATCAGAAAGTGTGCATGATTGACATACAAACAGATCAGCTCTACCATGGTATCGTGGTAACACACTTAAGTCAATGTGACTGCACAAATCCTTTATTTCTGTATTCAAACATTTTGACTTTCTTTCAAACAACATGTGCAATGACCTTCAGGGTGTTGCATTACAGGATTAATTTAACGTGACTGAAAAAAAGTTATAAACTTGAACAAATTCATTGTTTCACCAGTATGGCACCATCCTCTTTTCAACTCAATTCAAAACTTCTTTTTAACTTAAATAGTTTCATAGCTTTTTATACAATATCAAATACAGATTTTCAACTACAATTTTAGTGAATATTTTGGAGAAAAGTGTGTCTTATAGCTTTTCATTGTTTTCTTAAATAGTGCTTGCAACAAATGTAAAAAAAAAATCACTTGTTTTTGCTATTTACATACCTGTATAACATTTGATTGTCACTTTAGTTTTTACATATAATTTCTAGTCAGTTTTAAAACATTTTTACTGTAGAAGACGCATTTTTATGTATGTATATATAATTATTTTCCCCAACTATATATACACAAATCAGAAACAATTCTTAAGACACGTTGTGCGTACTTGTCATATTTTTTATCAGAATACAAATTATTGGAACTACAGCAAAAAAATCACTGTTCAGCACCATGAAATTAAGTCTTCACAATGTACAGAAAACATTTGAAAATGCATCTGCCCAGTTAATACTGGAGAAACTTATAGGATTTACTTCACATTGCAAATCATTGCTACAACCAGAACAGCATCAGTGATCACCTTATGGGGGCAGGCCTCTCCTCTTATGGGGCAGGCCTCTCCTCTTATGGGGGCAGGCCTCTCCTCTCCACCTAACCTTACTCAGACCTGACACCTATCTGAAATGAAAACATTCTGCAGGATTTGCGGGAAGGGTAATACTTTACAGGAATGATATTCGCAGGAATTTTAGAGGTGTTGTTTTTGCAGCATAAATTGTGAAAACAATAAAGAATAAACAGTTTCCAGTCATTCCATTACCCTGCTCTTTTTCTTCATGGAACATTTAACACTTACCAACACCTTATGAAAGGAAGCTTTATCTGCCTTTTGCATGAATACAGGTCCATTGCAGTGTGTGTTTTATTCCTTATCCCATCTAATGATTTTTTTTATTTATTTTTTTAAACACACACACACACACACACACATGAGTGAAGCTTGGGGTCTGAGTGTGAGGTCAGCTGTCCATCCAGTGCCCCTGGGTTAAGCACCTTAACTCAGAGCCCAATGGAGATTTAACTATTCTGCTAAACACAGGATTCAAACCTACACCCTTCTGATCCCAGGCACAGCGGTCAAAGCCACTAAGCCACACATGGCCCCCCCATGGTATATACGGCATGGCCCTCCCCTTCAGTGGAGAAATGAACATGCCACACTGTAAACTCAGCAAAATGCCCTTCAGCAGTGCTATTTCCTTTCTGTCAGTAACAGACAACCCACACAGGCAAAGCGGGGGGGGGGGGGGGGCTCTCAGGCAGGCCTCGAATCTTCACAAGTGCATGAATCAAAAAGGCATTTTAAAACCCACCAGCATCTGATCTGCTTTTAAAATATATCAGATTTGTGTCCTTGTTTGTACTGCAGATTCCAATAATAGTACACTAAAACACACCATGGGATATTCACAGTAAAACAGTGCACATACGTTTACCCCCCACCATAGGGGTAATGGTTCAACCGGAACCTTTCCAGTCATATGAGAACACTACACTCCGGGGAAGGAAAAACCAACATCACAAGCGATACGGGGTGCCACGATCAGCTATTATTGAAATCACTGGGAAAAAGATGTGAAATTGTCAAGTTTTGCCAATCACAATAGAAAAGAGAGCTCACTTTCACTAGTGTATGCCAGCTGAGCCCCACCCTTATGCCGGGTTCACTATGCTACATGGGAATTCATAGAAGATTTCAAAGCAGATGAAAGAAACAAAAGACCGTCCATATGCATACACAATGCAGACTTTGTTTGTTTGCTTCTCCCTTTCAGACTTTCCCCATTATTTGAAAGACTGACCCTCTGAATAATCCTGTGACCGTAATCCTTGTCAGTAGAGATTAATCAGATACTGTCTCAGATGTAAAAGCCGGTGGGAAGCAGGTCTGGGGGACTGGGAAGGACTTCGGGGCAGGGCTGGGACAGGTCAGTGGGTCCTGTAGCCGCCGTGTCGGGCAAGAGGCTGTCCACTGCATATGCCAGCCTGGTGCTGCCGGGCTGTGCTCCTCTTTCCATCTACAAAGGGACAAGAAAATGAGCCGAAGACCCATTTCCATGGTCTGCTGCACAGGAATTGTGAAGCTGCATATTTTCAGTTAAAAATAAAGTAAATGAAAACACCTTGACTTAATCAAACTATTACAATCGCTCAGCTCAACAAGTCCTTTACAGCAGCTGCTGTATACATATGGCTGGTAGCTGGAACATAGAGTAATACATTTGTACCATACTGGTCATGTGGTGGAACATTTATTCCCTTGTTGTGGGTTCCCTAAATGCTCAATTAGCACACGTTCTGTACCTGTTTTTACGACTAATTGTATTAGTTGACCAGATAATCCATGACGGGGAGGACATTTTGAGCTACTTCAGATTTTACAATCTACTTTAAAATTGAAAGGCTCCTGCGCTTGGCTAAATAGCTCCGTTCACCTTGTGCTTTGACGGTGTTGTTTCCTTGATTGAAAGACTCATCCAGCTGTGTCACATTACCATTAGTGACACATGCATGATTATAGGAGACTGACCAATCAGCTGAACAGGGTCCTCGCTGTCACCTCTTTGGTTCAAAATTTTTATCTATCTTGTGTGTCTAATAAATAAATATCAGATATTATTGTCAGAAAAAGTTCCAATAAGACCCATAGAAAATGGACTGCAAGCACTCAAAAGTACAGTGCAGGCAGCTGTCAACTTAATGAAATCCAGACAATATTGCGATACATAGAGTCTACGGAAATACAAGGGTGAGGTGTCCATAAGTACGTTTGCACGTCCTCTTTTTATTTGACACGTGTTCATGTGTTCCATATACAGTATAAGTATGTATTACTAGTATGTTTTTGCTCTTTTTTTTTGCATTAAAGTGTCTTGAATGGGAAGATGAATCCGATTTTCGTAAAAGTTGACTTGCGTAAGGGTTTGTGGAACCGATTACTTACGTCAGTCGAAAACTGCTTGTAAAGCTTGTAATGAACCAATTAGCGCTATTAGCACATTTATTAGGTGACGTTGTAAGCCACCGCGCTTTCCTTTGTGTAGGAAGGTGGCGAGAGCACGGCCGGCGGGGTGTTGCTGGGGATGCTCCTCATTGTTTATGTAAAAGGATCAGTGAGGCATCGACCCATCGTGCAACCAAATGCGTCAGCCTGCACTTAGGCAGCCCAGTGTGGCAGCCTCGGGGCGATCCGCTCGGGACCTCAGCCTGGCCCGTCTCCATCAGTGAGGCCGTGGGCGCTGGCAGCCTCGGGGCGACCCGCTCAGAGGGACTCTGTACACGGCTTGGTTCCGTCACCTGTGCTGCTCTCGCTCTCCCTCTGCCTCCCCCGATTCTGTGGCTTCCACTTCGCAAGATGAATAATGACAGTGTGACAAACGGACAGGAAGAAGAACAAAAACAGAGACGTGGTGCCCTTCCCTGGCTGGCTTGGCAGCGCTGATCTGTGTTTCGGTCCAGTATACGAAGGCTAGTTATGCTGTGAGACTTTATCAACCACACAAGCACATAGTGTATAAGAACCAGGCTGCATATGACTATTGTTTTGCCTTAACTATGTATGTATCTGCTGCAGGTTTGACAGCCACTGAGAAATGGACACAGATCGCCTGATTCTGATTGTCCTGAGCCCAATGCCCTGTGCCCTGCTCCTTAACCTCCTTAAGCCCCTGGGTGTCTTTTTGGGACTATAGAGGATTAGATCCAACCCTGAAGCTGTATAAAGATTTACGCTTCTACACAGATGTTCACTGACTGTTGTCATTAAATTATTTATTGATTTATTATATTTATATTTTGACAGGTAACTTTTACTTTATTATGTAATAAAGGTATAGATTGTTCTGATAAGTAAACTGAAACTTCCCTCAAAAGTTAAGCAGGTATTTTAGAAACATTATTCTCTCATACAGCGTTGCAAAGTTCAGCAGCAGGAGCCATCAGATCCAGGCTTTTGGTTGGTCAGGTTGTGGTAGATTTCATACTGATTTTTATATTAATTATCTTTGATTGAGTTCATCATAATAATGACAGACTCTTCAGTGGAGTTCAGGAAAAGGAGGGAGATTCATGTCATGCAGCCACAGTTCTGGAGCAACCTTATTCTCAGGATATTCAGGACCTGCAATTGAAGTTCTGTCTTGTGTCACGGGCAGCTCTGGGTGCGAGGCAGCAGGAGGCCAGCCCACTACAGAGCAAACGCACTCACACACACAACTGAACTATGGACGAGTTACAGATGTCAATTCACCCAGCTGCCTGTTTCTGGGCTACAGAAAGAAGCCTGTACAGCATAGGGAGAGCACACAAGCTCTGAGCACGGCATTCAAACCCCCAGCCGTAGAGGTATAAGGTAACAGCGCTACCCAGTGAGCCACGGTACCACCAGCCCTCATACAGCACGCCGATTTTCCACATGAGTCTGTTCATAAAACAAGTGTTAAGATAGATTAGTTACACTTATGCTGTTATAGTGTAATTAGTGGACTTCATTACTAAGATCTGACTGAACTACACTGAAACATTACTTAGAAAAGACAAAGAGCCATATTAAGTACTTTGCATGACCATAACAAGACTCTTATTTGTAAACAAGGAAATGATTCCCATATCGCAGTGCATACTGAAGATGGTAATAATTCCCATATGATGGAGTGGCTTCAGAGAGACCCTGTGGCTAAACTGCAGAAATTCACAGGCTTGTGTAGGATAAACATGGCGGCATATGCAAGATACTGTGGAGCACAGGTGCAGCTAGAGTCAGCTGGGGGGTCTGAAGTCATACAGTAACTATATCCTGTTAGTATTAACAGTAGCACCCAATAGCAAAACCATGCAGCATTGTGCTAAGCTAAAGGAGAGTAGTTAAGGGTATCACAACACTGTTACTCCACTCATTTGTCTTCCATTATGCATTTATTAGTACTTACTGGGTTTTTAAATACCGGCGGGAAAGGAAGGATCTAGTTTTGATTACAAACAAAGCTAACGATTGCGGTTGCGTGCGATGAGTGTTATATTGTAGTTGACAGGCCTGGCAATAATTAATTCATAAATATTCCAGCAACCCGCCAGCTTGCTCCTGTCTACGCATCAGTTTACGGCAGAGCAGCATGTGCCGGACTCTGGCACGGGGCAATCTGAGCCAGCGTGGCCTATTGATCTATTGCAGTCCTGCGGCACCTGAGATCAGACCCTGAGGTCAAGAAACCCAAAGCCTTGCTAAAGTGCCTGGAGAACCACCTCCTGGTGGCATCAGCAGCGGTTAGATGATTCTTTCTTTCTTTTTCCCCATTATTATGCGATTCTAAGAGACAATGACATGGTAAGGCAAGATGGTCATCGAATATTAACTTTAACAGAAGTTGGGTAAGTGATCCTCGCTGGTACAGATTAACCTTTTATCGGAGGGGTACAAGAATCTGTTAGAAAGAGACCATATTGAGTAACAGAAGTGGTTTAATTTTACAGGGTTCTTCGGTCTAGTCTAGCGCTGGTAAACACGCATGGGATAACTGGGATAACACGGACGTGTGTTTCTCCTGTTTGCTCCTGTCGATTTTTAGGAGAGCCCTCAGACACAGGAGCGGAGGAAGGCTCGCAGACGCACACATCTGTGTTGCGACAAGCATTTACATGAATGTCACAGCAAGCCAGCTCATAAAGGTCAAACACACACCCACTAAAACGCTGTAATCCCGCTTTTCATTTACCTCGCTTGCCTCTGGTGAACCGCCGCTGATGAACAAGCTGTATGACTCCAGAGAGGGAGACGGCTTGGCTCGACCCACAGCCGGCGAGGATTTCTGGGCCGTGTACTGCAAGAAGCGGGTGGACGTGACCCCGACCTGACCTGCAGTTGAAGATGTGGCTACCTCTCCGTGGTACTGGCCGGGCACCGTGTCATAATCCACGCTGGAAAGCCCAGGCGTGCTGGAGTGAGAGGCCAGGAACGGTGCCACATGCCTGTTGTGATAATATGGGTCAGCTGACCTTAGTTCCATCTGGCTGTGGAGAGAACCTGGGTCACTGTAGCTGTAAGCTGGCCAGGAACCCTGATCTGCAGTCTGCTGCCCGGAAACATTGCAGATCCCATCCATGGATGCTCCCCCGTTGTCAAAACTCTGTTTGCACTGGAACTGAGAGTGGAGCTGGGTAGGGATTTGGCTCTGAGGCCACTGGAGCGACTGGTGTTTGTGCGACTGGCTTGAGGGTGTTTGCGGGGCCTCAGTGTGGATCATTTTCCCCCGCGGATGGTCATTCCCTCCCATTTGGACCTGCTGGGTGGCCCAGCTGCCATCAATGAGCAATTGCTCCCAGCACAGAGGCTTCTTCTCCGCAGGAAAAGGCTTGGTGATAATGTGCTGGGCGGGTAAGGCTGATACCAGCGGCCCAAACTGTATGTCCCGCGCATCCACATTGCGCAGGACCGGCTGAGTGTTTAGGTGCTGCTGCATCTGCTGCGAAAGCTGAAGAATCGGTGCCTGCTCCTGTGGTCTGCTGGACGGATATCCCACGTTCTGGTGAGAAGGGGTGGGACCACCTGCTGGAGTGTGCCCAAGGATGGGTATTCCCTGGGAGACGGCTACCTGGTCCTGCTTACTGGGACCTCCCTCTCCAGTCTTGCCCTCCAGGGAGTCATGAACGTAAGAGAGGATCTCATCATTGGTCAGCAGGTCATTGAGAGGTGGGATATACTCTGGTTCCATGTCCACACGGATCATTCGCTCATCTAATAGCAGGAGCTCAAGCTCCTCAGCATTCAGGCCCAGGTTCTCCAAAGCGCTGAACAGCTCAGCGTTGGAGCAGTTGTCAGTGCCCTCCAGAGTCAGGGAGTCCAGCGTGGACAGGAGCGGGTCGACGTTTGATGGTTCAAGCCCAGGCCTCGTGGTGCCATTAGGTGACGCCCTCCAGGTGCCACTGGCTCCAGCATCAGAAGGTCCCGCGGCCCCGAAACCCAGCTCATTGCAAAGGCTGCTGTGGAAGGTCAGCTTGGGCTGCGAGGCAGGCTGGCACACGTAGACAGACTCGTCCTGCCTCATCATGGCCCCCAGGAGGGAGCTGGGATCCAGGATCTCTTGGGGACTCCCATCCAGTCGGCCCTTCTTAGCCTTGCCGCTCCGGCTCCTGCCCGGGAAGGCGTGGGTGAATCCCGGGATAGGGCAGCTGCTCTCGTACAGCAAGGCCTCGCCCGTGGCGAAGGTGAAGGGCAGATGCATGGAGCGCTTCCGCAGGTGCTCCCCGCCTTCCTCCTCCCTAGGGCAGCGGCACATGACACTGGTTAGCGTGTGCCAGTGCACATGCATGAATGTGCAGGGTGCGTATGGCTATGGGCAGAAGGAACGACTTGGGTAGCAGCAACTCCTCTCGTATTAAAATGATCCAATAAAGTATAGCTTATACTTCACGAAAACATCAGCATAAGAAGAATATATCTGAGTATTACTGTAAGTATTAGTATAATTTAGCAGTATAAGAGGTATATTTATGTATTTTAGGGCCTCAGATATTATATGTTGTTGAAATAATACATAGTAATATATTAACAGCACATTTTGTGCAAATATAATAGCTAGTTGTCAATCAGAGAAAAGCAAGCAGGATTTGTTAAAGAACACTGACATGACTCAAAGTTAGGTGTAGCTAAGTTCTTTTATCAAAACCCATGGTGTTGGGATTATTATAATTTGTTTTAACCCATTTCTGAGGATTTGCTTCAATGACTTCCACCGAGTTGAACCAATGTGTGACTGACGCAGAGTAATCTGAATTACTGCCTTTCTGAGCCACTTTATGCTCTGGTACTGATAGGCACACTTACACGAGAGGCCTCTGGGTGGCGATGATGTAGTCAGGTTTGCCATTCTTGTAAACCAGCCTTGCGTTGGCCTGAACCCACTTCCAGCGGTTGTCCTTGGTGAGCAGTCGGAACACGGTCAGCCCGCTCTCGCCCGTCTTGATCACTGTGAGCGATTTAAGCAAATTACTCCCTGGCAGCTCTACAAAGGGAACATAGCTATTGCGTACATTCGCCCACACACTCGACTCGCTAACGTTCCCCCCGACCGCCGTCTTCAAAAGGCCAACTGTGTCTTTGGTTGGGCCCCTTGGCTCAAAAGAGCACGAGCCAGCTGCCCAGATTATCCGGAATGGGCTCATTATTCGGGGTCGGTGCAGGTGTGAGGCACCAGGACCCCGTCATTTCCACAGGTGACGCTGCCAGTAATGGACTTTGCAGGTGGGTGATGGACACAGCCGAGCCTGCAGGGGGCGCCTCGCGCTAACCAAGAGACCCCGGGGCAGACGTTGAAAGTGGGAGTAATTGCCATGAGCCCCCGGCCGTGCCTCCGCTGCTCCTGGGAAAGAGCTGGGTTTCGTGCTGGAGTTGAGTTCAGCAGCTTACATGCAAACAGGCAGCTCTACTGCTGAAGAGCCTCACGCTACATCAGAGACAAACAGGTACTTTCCCGGTGAAAGACAAGCCCTCCGTCTGTGGGACAGACAGACCCTCAGGCTTAGTGTATAGATCTTATGCCCCCTTAAATATGGAGGTAGACGCAGACGTCCAGCGTCTCCAGCAGCCTCGAAGACTATAAGTGGGGCTTTCTGACTCACTGCAGTCATTTTGCTTGTCACTGAGGACTGTACTTTCCTCGAAATGGCGAGTGGAAGCCCCAGACCACCCATGACATACTTCTGTTCACTGCCCAGCGTGGGTATCGGGGCCCCGTTTTGCCAAAGGGACTAGAAGCCCTAGCACTGCCCCACTGCCTTTCAGATAAGTCATTTAGTGAGTTTATAACCCTTCATGAGGTTCTTACTGTATCATTCTCATCACCTTGACAAGAAACATGGAAGTTCGATCCAGTGGAATTGAGAAAATAACATAAAATCTCCTTGTCTTTCGCAAGCAGCCATATCTTCCCATATTTATGTTCTTCTCTTCATTCAGGTCACCCAGTATCTTCCTATTCTAAATTCTTGTTCCCTAATTCGCTGTCATCTGCTTCAAGCCATTAGCCCTTTTAGGGTCATTATTACACTACACCGATTGGCTGACCCACTTCCCGTGCCGTGCTTCTTGCTGACACAGGACTCTGCTGTTGGACTATGGGAGATTCATGTAGCTGTCTGACTGCCTATCGATGCCAACATTCCCAGAGTAACTGTAACTAGTGGTTCACTCAGCAAGCAGGAAGCCACTTCGTTTCGGTTTGCGTTCCTGGACACACTGCCATCGGCCCCTTTGTGGAGTGGCTGACTCGCACCAATGCACAGAGCAGTTAAACGCGAAGACTTCTGGGGTATGAGCAGGCCTGGACTGGCCATCTGGCAGACCAGGCATTTTCCCAGTGGGCTGGTAAAATTAATCATGGGACCCCCCCAGTGCTAGGAAAAATTTACCGTAAGGGCTGAAATTTAATCCCAGTCCCGCCCTAGTTTTACCTCCTAATTGAGACATTGCTGTCCCCATCTCTTTAAAGGATTCTGCAGATGGCAACACAGAACATAGAAGCATCAATCTGTTTAGCCTCAATTATTTAACGGCTCTAACTGCCATCTGATAGGTTAATTATCACTCATGGTCACTCTGTCTTGAAGGCCTTGTAACAGAAGAACATCTCACTCCGGACGTGGTTCTCAGCGCAGTGCAGCATGTCAGCCGCATGGATGAACTGATATCCTGAACCTCGAACCCGGAGCTCTGCCTCAGTGTAGCCCAGGACAACCTTGCCCCTGTGACACAGAATGGAGGCCATTATATATATAAAATATAAAAGCAGAAATATAAATAATAATAATAGAAACCCACAAATAATACTAAGACAAGGAAAATGAACAATAGTCATATAATTATTGTTGTAACAAAAATGGTCACATAATTATATATCAATAAAAGCAGCTGTGATGATTTTGATTACTTGGCATCACAGGCCATGGGGGTGAAGTCCAGCTTGTGCTTGGTTCTGAAGATCATGTTCTTGGTCCTGATCTCCAGAATGGAGAGTGGCTGCAGGGGCGTTGCTATGGCGAACAGGGCCAGCTGAGGGGACACTTGGTATCCGCCTTCTGATGCCTGGTTCTGCCCATGGAGGAACTTCAGCCTGCCCTGCAGGTTCAGGGCCTGGGGATGGAGAGCAAGATGCCAGCCATGCTTCCTGTTAGCGGAAGGTGTAGAGAAGGGTTCCCCATTTCCGGTGCTGAAGGGCAAGAATCCAGAACAGTTTGCAGATTTCCTTGCTCAAAAACATCTACTAAATCTGGTAAGTAGCTGAATAAAATGTGTTTGAGCATGGAAATATACAAACTGTGCTGGATTCTGGCCTCCAGGACTGGAACAAAACAAATACCAGAAGAAGAAAAAAACGTGTCAATCAATCAACTGATTAATTAAGAACTTAGAACCTAGACTTTTATGATCATGTGACACCCTACTTTACTTGACACAGACAGTTCATCATTTAGAGTATAAAATCCTGACAGACCATGTTCTAGATGCAAATTTTCCACAATATATTTATCAGATAACAGGGGAGTGTTCCACAAAACAAGATTTCTCAGTTAGCTGGATAATTTAAGCCAGAATTCATGATCATCCAGTGAGGTAGGAGGTAGGTAAGAAAAATTCCAGTTGAACAGTCTTGACTTCTGGCTTAAATTATCCAGCTAACCACAAAATCTTGTTTTGTGGAACACCCCCCTGATCGACCAGGCCGTGAGATTTACTGGTGACTGTTATGATGGCAGCCCTGGTGCAGCCAGGTCAAAAAACTCGTTCCTCTGTCAGAGAGTGAAAAAGCAGGTTCATGCCCTGGTACCTTCAAGCTATAGCAGGGAAACACAGGCTCAACTCCGGCGCACAACGACGGGTCTGTTCTGCAGCAAACGCAGCATTAATATGCACCCCTCAGTGTGTAGCAGGTGCTGGGTGTTGAGCACTGCTTAGGCAGAGGTTCTCAAATGCAGGCCTTTTGATCTTCTAAGTCCTGACGCTAAAGTGGGCCAGCTCTGCTTCAGCCGTAATTAAGCCTGAGACTGTGAAGTCTAAAATAGGCGAGCACAGATCCAGCGATTCCATTACAACACAACTGCAGTTTCCATATGGGCTGCGTCCCAATATAACACTAATTTTAGGAATCTTTCAGTCAAGCTGTTACTGTAAATCACCTGTTTTTATATGACCTGCCTGCCACTGAAAATCTTGAAAGCTTTCCGTAAGCATGCAATTCATGTGCGATTTGTGTGACATGTCTGTCTCGTGTAGCTGCTTTCCACAGACAGGCACCCCCCAACACACACACACACGCACACACAAACACAAACAAATACGGGCACATGAATGACAAACCCAGAGAGTACGGAGCATCCGATTCAGGCTCTGAGACCCAGCTTGATGATGCTGCTTGGTAGCTATGTACTATGCTAACGGTGTTTGTGTCTTATTTCGGGGAAATGTACTGAGAGCAGTTACCTGCCTCCCTTTTGTGTTCATGATGCTTTTAACAGTCGTCCTGAAAGCGGATACCACAAATCCTCCAGTACGAGTTTCCCCGCCTCGCTGCCCCTCTGGGAGTGCCAGGCCCTCTAATTGTGAGCGTTAGCTTTTTTGACAGGCATGGCGGACTGAGCCAGGAATGCGGTCAAGAATCGTCTCTGCGAGGCAGCGCGTATCCGGTTTCCCCCGGCGTCCGAATCTGGGCTGAGCTAGGAGCGGGAACCCGAGGAGCAGGAAAACAAAAAACCAAAACCAAGATGAAACGGAGAGCCCGTGGTTTCTGATGAATCTGAAATGTGCTCGCGAGCGGCCACAGAAAGGAGCCCGGCCAGAATGGGCACCAACACAAGGGCGCAGGGGAAAAACAGAAGGGTGGAGACTTGTCAGCGTATGAGGGATGAAACGTTAAAGCGCTGCGATGCACCATCTTGCTCTCATTCAGCATAACTTATGGAAGACATGCGCCATAAGGAGAGCCGGTCCAAGGAATACTTTAGCAATTCGGTAATTGTCATTCACAATTTTCGAATCCCCTTCATCCAAAACATGCCCGACAACAAAGGATTTATTTTATTTTGCTGACGGGGGCTTGATGCCGTGCCTTAAACCGGCGCCCTCAAACTGATTCGATTAACGTAATGACCCTGCGTTTACGACCGCTGTGTGATGTCGAGGGCCTCTCTGACGTCACGCCCAGGAGCACACCCGACCTCAGGCCCTTTAAGTAGAGTTTCAGCAGCATGGAAAATGTTACAGAACTACTGTGTGCATCAATACCAGATACACTATTCAATATGAGGAGATGGGAATGGTCAGCGGCGTCCGCCTTCTCGCGTGGGTCCGAGCGTCTTGGACCCATGACCTACTCCCTTTACTCCTTCCTCTTAAGGGGTTTTGATGCTGTGGTGGACATAATAAGAATGGAATGGGAAGAGTAATGGAAAAACTAAGCTGAAGCTCCTCAGATGGCAGTCTTTCCTCAGGCTTTCCTCAGGCTTTCCTCAAGTTTTCCTCAGGCTTTCCTCAGGCTTTCCCTTAGCAACAAGCGGTGTCCTAACAAGGCTACCCTGTTTAGCCTATAAATCACACAGCCACCCCCATCCTCGCTACACCCTTCCTACATGCATCTTGGATGAAAGGGAATCTCACAGCGCCCCCTGTTGGAAGGGCATCGGCTGGTATTTATTTTTGCCTATCATCCCCCCACGTTCTCCATAAAGTGTGCCCGGTTAATGCCCTCCTCCGTGCTGCCAACCACACAGAAACACTTCACTGCATGCGCGGCTCACTGAAAAGCTCATTAATGGTTTAGATATTTATAAGAAAGATTTTCAGAAAATTTGAAAATTCCATTTTGTCTACTAAATGTTGCTGTAAATAACAGCAAAAAGGCAAAAGAAGGCCAAACTTTGACCGTTCCTGGCGCCTTTTAAAGTGGTGCGATTAAATGTTTATGAGTTTTATAAGCTTACTTCAGTCATTTTCTTATTAGGGCCAAAGCAAGTGTTGACTTGGCTAATCTATAAATACGGCACTAAGCTGGTCCTTCTGTGTCACATGGCACTCCGCACAAGCCAAACTATGCCCCACCACGCCTGCTGACAGCCTTTGATGTCAATCCGTTAAAAAAACAGCAACTCAGATGGCCTAAAGGCGAAAGAAGCCGCTGAGCTTGTCGGGGCGGGCTTCCTGCAGCGGCTTCTTTCGCTTTGGCGGTTCTGCACCACGGGTCTCGCGATGATCAATACATCTGAGGAAGGTGTGGGTCTGGCTATGGAAATGAGAGCAGCTCTGGGCGCGCTGCCATCGCCTCCGGTCAGCTCGTGCGATGGTTGCCATGGGAACACAGGGGACAGCTCTGTCCTGCTGTCCTGAGGAGGTTCTCACACTCCTGTGCCAGGATTACCCGTCCTTTCCCCATGACCCCGCTGCCCCATTAATGCGGATTACCTGTGTCTGATCTCTCGAGGGTCTGCTGGGGCACCACATCTCATTAGCGGCAATTAGGGGGTGGGGTCACCTGTGTGGAGGGGGTGGGCAGTGGCAGGCTAAGGTTTACCTCCACTCAAACCACACATTTGCATGGGCCCCTGAGGTTTGGGGCCCCCCAGCTGGGCAAAAACAGTCACTATACTAAATAATAAGTAAATGCATTCCTTATTAAGGAGGTGCTGAAGCAACATGTTCTGCTAATCAGCTAACTAGCTACGATCGTCTGAATCTACACACTGGCTATTTATTTCGTTTTTTAAACATCTGGGAGGGGGCGGTCTTTTTGAGTGGGGCCCCAGAAACAACAAACCTGCCCCTTATCAGAGGGCTCTTTTCCAATCACAAATGTCCTGTGTATTGTGGTGGCGCTCACGCAAACCAGACCGCGGCGCTCACGCGAACCGGACCGCGGCGCTCACGCGAACCGGACCGCGGCGCTCACACAAACTGGAGCACGGCGCTCACGCAAACCTGTGGCAAAACATACAAGGCTACATCTTAAAACGACCCAAAAGTTAACAGAGCTAATTTGAGAAAAAAATCCACACAACATATAGAGATATTACACCAAAATACTACACAAAATGTGATATGAAATCTGAGATTAACTAAGGAGACACAGCTGCGGTTAATTGTAAATTTCTATAAAAGTAGTAAACCATCACTGTTTATCCCTATTGCCATAATTTTGCTCATTATTTGGTTAGATTAGGAGTATTCCACATACAAATATGGAGTAGGTAATGTTCATTGTTGAGGTTTTGGCTGGTTAGTGTTAATAACTAAGAGCGTTCTCTCCAACATGGCCTTAAATTACCCCAGTTCCGGGCCAGGGGTTGGAGAAGAATGAGGATATACGTACCAGGAAGCCAGAGGAGTTGTCGAGAAGACAGCGGAAGCGACACACGAAGCTTCTCTCCAGGAAGGAGGAGTTTTCCGGGGGCAGCTGATCCGGGGTGTAGGTGCAGATGGGGGAACTGGTGACTGGGTCTTCATCTGAGGAAGAGGATATAAAATGGCCTCCAGGGTGTCTTTTTTTCCTCAATCCCTTTCATTTCATTTTAGCACCGTCAGCACCCGCCCTGTAACATTTTATTCCTTTATCAGATGCCTTTATTCATTACACATTTCCATTGTACATTTCTGAGAAAGCTGGGTGAGACAGTTCCTGGGGCACTTGGGTTGAGGGCCTCGCTCAGGGGCCCAATGGTGACATCACTCTGCCAACCCTGGGATTCAAACCAGCAACCTTCTGATCACAGTCTCCTATCCCGCTGAGCTACATGTGGCTCTCTAGTCACCTGATCATGGAAACTGTACTGACCTTGGACAACGAACATGTCGCCAAATGGAATAAGAGGCTGCCGAGACCCTCCCCTGGTTAAGAGCTGGGCTCCCCCAAGTAAAGGTTCTGGGTCCGCTGGCTGCTCTGATGCCCTGCTGTGCCACCGTCTGGCCCCATTGTGTGTGAGCGCCATCATGTGTGACCATCATTGGCTGTGACAAGCATCGCGTGTGACCACCATCGCCTGTGACCGTCATCGCGTGTGACCACCATCGCCTGTGACCGTCAACGCGCATGAACACCATCGTGTGTGCATGCCATTGGCACCCCCTTCCTATTAATTAAAGCAGACATCTGTCCGCACGATTCCAACCCCAGCTGGGGAGCTTCTTGTAAAGGTCACACATTTCCATTTGTTTTCGTTGGGCGTCACGTTAGTGACTTGGCACAATGGTGTTGAGGCCAACAAAGTGTGCGGCAGATCCATGGCCACATTTGGATCGGAACACAATAGATCGATTCCCCCTGCTCAGCCTTTTTTTTGGATGCAGTAGACCTTGCCCTTGTGTTTCTGATGGAATTTGGCGCTCGGGGAAAAATAGTTGTGGACCCCTGCACTAGATCAACTGGATTCTCCTACAGAGAACACAGCTCAGTGTTACACCAGATCAGGGCCATGAAAAATCTCATTCCATCGTGACGGCAACTTGATCCTTATGAGAAACAATATTTACAAACACCATACTGTTATGTGATGTGAATTCTGTCAACTGGAAATGATCACTGGGGAGGATGAGGGTTAAGGCTTGAATGGGAAACGACAGTGTTCACCGCCACTCAAACCACACATTAGTGTGGACCCCCTGATGGCCACAAACAGTCACTATACTGAGTATTAAATAGATGTGTTCCTCATTTAGAAAATGCTGAAACAGTATTGTTTGGAAGGGTACCGTAGGCATGCTCTGTATTGAAAAATATTAATGTTGCTTGAGTCAGATGCTCTTCGGTATCAAGAGAAAAGATTCCATGAAACAAAAGAGAAAACGTCTTCTAACCAAGGCACTCCTTAAGTTAAAATGTCATTATCAGAGTGACATGTCCTAACTGGACTGTTAAAAAAGCCCACGCACAACGGCTCGTGCCTTCTGCAGAGTATAAAGAGTGCCCTGCTTTGGAGAATTTTTCTCTTCTGTTTCATGGATGCTGAAGCAGAATGTTCTGCCAACCAACCAGCGAGCTATGACCTTCTGACTCTACTCCCTGGCTATTTTTTTCGCTAAGGTGACTTTTTGACTGGAGTCCCTGCATTTGTTGCACCTTCTGGGGATAGGGAGGGATAGTAGTCTGGTAGAGGTGGCGGCTCTCACCTGACTGGTTTTGCTGGGTCACTGACGGAGGATTCAAAGCCCAGTGTAGGTTTCTCCTGAACTCCTGCTGGTCCTCAGTGTGGATGAGCCCAAACACACTCTGGTGCATGATGTCCGTCTGAGACAGGAGGGAGAGGCGGCATCCGGCCTGATCATTTCAGGGAGGCTACATAACCCTCCCCCCCCCCCCCGCTAATGCACAGGTCAGAGCAAATCACACACTACTGCCATTATTATTTATCGCAACAGTTTGTGAGAATGCCCTAAATTATAGCAATCTGTAATTATCTGCTCTTTTAACTAATGGTTGCATGTTTTAACTAATGTTATTTCAGAACGAATTCAGAGAGAGAAAAAAACTACCTTTGCCCCTTAATTATTTACTAACATATACTGGTTTGTGATGTTATTAGGAACTACTGTACTGTTTCACCTTTATGTAGTAAAACATAAAGCATAATAGCCTCATTAGCCATTAGCCTCAAATCGCTAAACATGAAACCTTTGATCGAGCTATTTGCAAGGCTTGATCTTTGCTAAATCCTGTGTAGGCCGGCTCTGCTGGCTTCCAGCTTGCCCTCCGCCCCCCCTCCCCCCAGGGAGATAAAGCAGAAAATGGGTGAGAGCGCTAATCGCCTAACTTAGTTTCCCCTCCCACTGACATCATTTCAGTATCAAAAACATGTGCATCAACATAAACGTTCTAATTCATCACAGCGTCAACATTTGGCGCACTGGGAGCCTGGCGAGTTTGAGTCGGTAAATATTATTTCAGAAGATCATGGCTGTCACTGTAAATAAATCGTCGTTTAACCAAAAAATTGGGCTGATGGGGGATTTTCCCCTTCTACACCAATTACACAAATTTATACCAGCACTTTGGGGTGCACTTTCCAAATCCAGAGTGAGCTGCGTGTTGATAAAGGCGTATTTCTGTGTGCACACGTGTGCATGCACGTAGATAACCATTGCGGACTGGAGGAAATGTGCAGGCTTAAGTTTGTGAGGCTGCCTCATTATACCCTAGAACATGGTGCCCAACCTAAGCTATTCTAATGAAACATTCAGCTGTATAAATAGGTTCAAATTTACTGTATAAATGGAAAAAACAACACACTTTTTGAATAAAAACCAATGCCAACCAAAGTCAAAATTATAATGATGTATGTCAAGTCATTATATTTATACTGTAAAACACATAAGTGTTTACCAAAGTGCTGTACAACCCAGTAAATACACACTATACATTAAATCTTACCATAAAATTTATAATAGCAAATCCAGTAATAACATTCACTACACATATAATCCAACAATAAAATCCAATCTAATGACATGTAACACTAACATTCAGAATGCAAAAGCCAATGAATAAAAATAAATAATTTATCTGGATTTAAAAACCGGGATTGATGGAGCTGATGTATTCTGAAATGGAAGACTGCTCCACCGTTAGATTTTAACCGAAACTGTGGGACTGACAGAGGAAAACTGGTAAGAAGTGGACCTATGTAAAGCAAGAGGTACATTTGGTAATAAAGATCAGTCACTGTCTGATACATCTGTAAGTGAATTATAAAACAACTGTATTATAAGCTCACGGCGCAGACCAAAATATATTTCATTAACCTGAGTCTGGAGCCTGTTAGTCGGCATGTTCTGTTCAAGTGCTACTGTAATGGCAAACTACCATATTATTTTCTAGTGTATATGTTTCCCCAACATCGCAGTTTCACACAAAGCGATTGAATGATTGACTTCACCAGGTGATGACATTCAGAAGATGTGACTCCACTCCAACAAGAAACAGGTGTGTAAACACATAATGCAAAAGGCAAATGACACTAAACTAGGGCCTTATTTTTACCAAGCACAGAAGAAGGCTATATGTTTGTAAACAAAGGGAGGAATAAATAATTGTATAGCGAATATCGACACACTGAAGTTGTTACACTGGCTGTGCATCGAAAGATATTTCTCCATATAATACAGCTGAAATCAGCTGATCAGCTCCATGTTGCAGTTGAAGATCTTACCAACAAATGACCAGAAGCAGCAGACCACATATGGGCCGGGGCAGGGGGGCAGGATGAGGGTCTAAATGCGTGAGGCAGCCAGCGATGGCCCCACAGTTTGCTGAGCGTGGGAGTGGCAGCCATTACCTGATGGAATCCCAGGTAATCCTGGATGGTGTGAGAGGTGTAGAATATGATCCCCTCTGACGTGACAACCAGCACAAAGCCATTCAGGGCCTGTAAAAGAAGGAGGGGGGGGGGGGGTCATATGAAGAGAGCGATTCCGGCTGAGCAGCTTCCTTAAGACCTTTCTGCCTCGTTGGCGTTAAATAAAAACGGGGACTTTTCTGTTTTTTTTAAGGGTACCACAAGAGAGTTCCACAGCGCCATCAAACCCACCTAGCTTTCTTCTTTCTGCCTTACTACACCTCAAATAGCACCTGAAATATATAAAAGGGCGACCTTCTGGCATGAGTATCATTAAATAAGACCCTTGATCCTGGCTTTTGTCTTGCTGTCAATGGTGAAGCACAGGGAGGTGGGACATGGCAAAGACTCCCACCGAAATATATCCCCAGCATGAGAAATGTGAGCGATTCCTCAACGTGTTCTTCAAAATTAATGAATTCATCACAATGTAATTCAACACACACACCGACTCTACAAGTTCAGTACCGTTCAGTTTTCAAGTTTTTACTGGCTTCAATCCAATCGTTTCTCTTGTGATATGTATATCATCTAGACAAAATTGGTCTTCTTAAAAATGGGTACACCATAAACTGCTACTAACGGTAACTTCAGTACCTCCGTGAAATTAGATGATTTGATGAATGATTCCCGCTACTCTACACCCAGATTTGTACAAGTTCTTCATGCACGAAAATGTGATTATTCTTAATTATCTAAGAAACACATTTCTTCACGGAAATTGTGTCATTGTTTCAGAGGCCAGAAGTTTAATGTTTGTTTCTGTAAACACTTCACTTGGTTACCAGCTTTACAGAAGTTTCATCAGAAAATGTCTCATAAATCATCTGCATAAATCATTGCAGTTTGTTTTAAGAAAAAAAAAAACATAGCTGGGAAATAAAAGCAATATAAAGGCAATAAAATAAACACAGGACAATATTCACAAGCAGCCTGTGGTGACAGGGTGAGAGAAACTGTCATTAGAAATGTCCAGCAGGCCTGAAAAAGGTTACGGTGATGGGTTGTGCACGCAGATGGTCTGAAAAAGACCCCCCCCCCAGGATAAGAGCAACAGACGAGTGCATTAGATGTCAAAACACAGAAAATCAAGCCTGGTTTTAAGGGGGGAAACAGCAGGGAGGAGTCAGCACTCAGTGCTTAGATACTGGGCAAAAAATGGGCAAAAATTGGCCTGGGGCGAACATGGCGTGTCATTTAGGGCTATGATGTTGGGCCACTGGGACAGGAAGCACCGCGTCCAAACAAACCCACGCGGCGCAGTGACTCACACCTCGCTGCCGTGTCAGGCCGCCCGCGGCCTGGGGGACACACCGCCACTGTCACGCGAGGAGGGCCCGGCCTCCACTCCGGCGTGCCCACTACGAAGGAGAACCTAACCCAATCGATGGCACGCCAAAAGAACCGTACCCCCCCCCAGTACCCAAAAGCCACCAGCACCGATTCAGAGGGCGTCGATTCACAGCAGCCTTCCTGGTGACCTCAGGGAAATCAAAGCCATAAATATATGGTTGGATGGCTCCAGATTTTTCATCTGGACTTTTAATTGTAGCTTCTCAGTGCTTATTGAGTATTGGATTTCAGGATGGTGCAATTAACGTTTATACTACAGAAAACAACTACAAGTATGGTCCTATCCTATTTGCTCATTTACTATGGCCTGCAGTCAATTTTGGTGACTTCTGGGGCACCAGTACCCACCCTCTGGGGCCTCAAACTCCCTGCAATGGGCCAAAAATGACAACCTACATCTCGCTTTGGCCCAGTTCCCACAAACCAGAGGTTATGCTCTATGTCTCAATGTAAATATTTAGGTTCATCTCTGTGTAGAGAGATTTTATTAGTATTTTACAGTAAGTTTTTTCAATGGAATCATTCATCCATCTATCCACCCATCCATTAAATCAATTTGCTCAAATTTAAATTATATATTTTTTTTTCATTCCATTAAAAGCGGTGCAGTAATATATGCTAAAATTTGCTAATGACACTGAACTTTAAAAAAAATCAGAGATAAATCTTGATGGTATATTTATTGAAATACAAAATATTAAGAGGGAATTATGGTGTCGAAAGCAGCATCAGGAGGCATTATGGGGGGGGGGGGGGGGTACTCAGATTCTGGTTATTTCCTTTAATGTGTGAGTGACCTCTCACAGACCTGAAAGAGGATTTCCAAACATTGCTTGATGTTTTTCTAATACCATCCATTTTGTCTGAGATCTGAAAGATATATTTGCTTTGGGAGATGCACAAGTGCAAATAGATCATTTAAAAAACTGTAAAACGATGACATTGGTCTGTGTCACCTCACTCTAACAAGGAATGACATCATCATGCTGTAAGGGAGCCCCCTCTTTATCTGCCTAGCTTAATGTAAACAAACAAACCAGCACTGTTTCACCGATGCAGTGAAAAAAAAAGGATTTTCCCAAAAACATATGCACTTTTCTGTTCTTTCTTTCCTTTGAATTATTGACGCCCCTCCAACTTATTTATAATGTATGGAAAAGCATCTGAAATGTAACGCAGAAGGACCAGGAGCATAGCCAGAAATAGCCCCTACTTTTTATGCTTCTGTCCCCTTACAAGTCAAAGCTCAGTCACTGTCCCACCCTCTCCTCTTTGTCTGTTTCTCTCAGATCACCAGCCAAGCGAAAGCAGGATGCTTCTTGCCCTGTTTACGGTCTGGATAAGCGCTGCAACAGAACAACAGTGAAGCCATACTTCATAACTCGCCAGGTTATGGATCACAAGAAACATGACATGGTGCTTATTTTATAGTCCCAGGAGAAGCATGGAGTGATGGGGAGATAGCATGGGAGCCGGGGCTGGGGGCTGGGGGCTGGCTCCCCTGTTGTGTTGATGCTTAGCTGTCTCAGATAATCAGCGTTGGAGAAGCCCTCTCAGCCGGGAGCTCAGCTGGCTAACGTTTGTGAGGTGAGTCTTCTTTATCAATCCCCATGCAAAGGCTTGCTATTTGTCTCCAGAAGACCTCAGCCTCCCAGGAAATGGTTATTTGGGTTATGGTGCAGGTTACCTCCACAGAAGCTCCCAATTTCCCGCCGGCAATCATAAGCTGCACCATGAGATATTTCGGTTTATTGGCAAAGTGTCAGTTTTCTAATCGGGGGCGAGGCTCAATTCCAACTCTTTGTTTGCATAAATGTCACCCCCCCCCCCCAAAAAAAAAATAAAATAACAACTTTAAGCAAGGTATGAACTTACACATTCCCATATCCTGCCTATTACCTCTCACATAAACATCACAGAATGACTAATATAGGTTTATTTAGACATTACATCTCCTTGTTTATTTACCAGGTTCCTCAAACTTCCTCTACTTACGCTGAGCCAAGAGTCCTCAGCTTATCAGTCACACTTCCTCTAAACAGCAGACAGGAGAAGAATTTCACTTGGAGGTACTTCAGCTCATCCAAAATAGATCAGGCGGATGACGTACTGGCCTGCAAATTGAATTACGCTTGAAGGAACGTTTAAACCGCAAGAGACCGTGTGGACCTGCTTGTGTAACGAGATCTCCAGAACTTCCTTATTAAGGAGCTCAGGTAAAAGTTCAGAATGAGCAATTATGTTGTTATGGACAGCAAGGACAACATTTGAAAGAACATATGGATAAGAAGTTGACTAACTGCTCTCCTGGATTTCTCACAGGGCTGGTGGTCTGTTCCCCGGCTGCGGGGAAACAGGAGGCCTCATCTCCGGGATTGGCTGTGGTACAGTCTGCTCTTCAATATTCACAACCCGCCATTATAAACTTCCTAGCAAAGCCGGTTTGGCTTTCGTAGCCACTCTATTTTTGATCACGGTTGAAAAATGCTTGTGTTCCCTCTCTGCTGCTCTCACATCCCCTCAACCTCATGCTTTATGTTTTATTTATGTGATGGAAGCAGCCTTCCAGATGGGCCTGAGGTCAATGAGGGGTATGGATATATAGAGAGTGGGCATATGTGTGTTTGTATATGGGTGGGGAAATGTATATGGTGTGAGCCAATGGGCACCTGCGATTCATTTGGACACACCCCCCTAAGGTAAACTTATGCTCTGGCCCACTTCCCAAGTACTAACCTGCAGCAAGAGCTCCCCTTCAGGCATCTGGCTGTCGGCCAATCCCGTGGGCTTTTCGTTGTTGCGTTTACTGACGTTGCCCTTCATTCCATTGGAAGTGTGGTTCTTCAGGGTCACTGAAAAGCAGAAGCAGGGAAGAGAGCTGGCTTTCATGCCTGAATAAGCCGCCGCAGTGGGTGATCGTCATGACATGGTACAGCACACCAAAACATGGCATGACCCAACTTCAAGCAGGGACATCTACTTTATAACTTAAGCAAATCAAAAATGTAGATGACCTATTCATTATCTCGCTGACAATTGCTGCCATCGGCCCAGTGCACCCCGCCCTCTGTCCGCGTGCCGCGGATGCGAGTAACAGACCATCTCGGCAAGCCCCAGGCTTTGCCTTGTTGTTTTTAAGCACTACTGATGCGTTTGCAAACACACATTATGAGCAGGCAGTGAGCCGGTGAGCCAGAGAATACAGACTCGCGGGGAAAGAAAAAAGCTGAAGGGGGGGGGGGAATGGGGCGGGGGAGCATTTCCCCAACCATTAAAGTCACAGGACGCTGACCTGGGGAGTTTTAACCCATTTACCCGCTAGCCTGCTCTTCAAAGTGCACCCAGAGCAAACGAAATTAGCGACAGTCACACCTCGCTTATGTGAACATATCATTACCCAGAAGGCTTTGCTGCGAGCACACGGCAGTAGTAAACATAAAATGGAATGTGCCATATAACAAGACCATGGGGCTACACTTACAACCCATGTACAGATCTGGGAGGGACCTTGCGAAAAAAGGCACGTTTGACATACGAGTTGCGGTGCATCCTCTGCCTTTTTACAGATTTATGGTCTGGCGTCCCTACATGGTTTGTCCATCCTGTGAAATCATGACAGGCTGTATTTTGTGGAAGGAGGGGACCAGCGTTCTCCCTCAGAACCAACTTTCCTGTTTAAAAAGATCTGGTTTAATGGAGAGCCGAGCCAAACCAAACCAAAGCCTGAGTGATGTCTAACACCAACCCCGTCAGGTTTCTCAAACATTTATGCTGCATTCCTCTAGTATAATGATCTTTTTTTATGACTGTAAAGAAAGTTCTGGTAGGAATAATTATATTAGCTATGATATTAAACCCATCCCCAATACACCAACACATAGTGTCACACAGATACCTCAGGATAACCAGCTGTCAGATTAACTCAAGCTCACTTTAATTTCCTGCCAAAAGTGTTTTGTTTTAAACTGGGAGTAATGGGATCTCATGGTGTGATCTCCGAGGAGGCCTGGAGCTCCTTCTGGGCGCTGGTGCTGTGTGGACCGGGCCTGCTTGCCAGAGGTTCTGTCGAAAGGTCAACTAGGCAGCAGAACTCGATATACTGCCCCGTTACTCACAGCTAAAGAGCTAGAGAAAAAAACAGCCATGAGGTGCCCATCAGCGCCAATGTGTCCATCGACATTCATGGCATTAGTTTAGATTAATTTGCTACAGATTCAAGATTCTTCATGTGCCTTTTGCACATGAGTACATAGGAATCCTTATTCACTCCATACAGACAGTAAGATGAAATAGGATTAGACAGCACAAAACCAGACAAAGGCACTCACAATACACCAAAGCAGACAAATGACTAGGAACCACAGAGGTAATAATAATAATAGCAATGTTAGGATTCAGCTTTCCACAGATTCATACTCATTCACTTAGGCACTGTTACATTACAAATAGGGAAAGAAAACACCAACGTCTTTAATCGTTTTGGCCAACTGACTGCTTGATTTTTATTAAATGAAATGAAGCTTTGTACAGGTGTATTGCAATGTGTTCATTTTTGTGTATCCCATCATGCTCTCCTTCCTTAGGCACACACACATTTATACGGCTGAGAGAGAAGCTTGGGGTTTGAGCACAGGGTCCCCCACCCATCCAGCCCCCCTGGAGGCATTTGTGGTTAAAGGCCTTTCTCAGGGCAAACTGGTGACCTTCTGATCACAAACACAGAGGCCCAGCTCGCTGAGCCTCACACACACCCCTCCATCTTTTGCAAGCTGATGTAGTCCGCTGTGAGAATCCGACAGACCAAAATGTGATCGGACAGGAGGCCTGGAGGACTCTCTTCCCTTCAGACGTGAAAGGTCGGGCACGTCTGTCTTGTGCGGGAAGTGGAATAGCGTGTGGCGGCAGGAAGGTCACATAAAGGCGCAACGTCACAGCAACAAACTCCGGGGACCTGGAGGAGATAAGTGCATAGGGACACAGGAGACTTCCTTTCAACAGCACAGAAGAGCCTGGGGCCCTGTCCGTATCTCCACACTCTCTCAAGACCTGCCGTCCATCATCTATTCAGCCACCAGAGAGACACACTCAAGCGATAAAAGGAGGTGCCAGCAGAAGCGTGAGCCTTGGGTGCGCGTGTAAGAGCAAGCCTGCAGCTCCTCACAATGTTAAGTATAGTTCATACAGTTAGTAGAGCACTAGACTCACGATAGTCAGTGTATAGACGATACAGTTAGCAGAGCACTGGACTCACGATGGTCAGTATAGCCGATACAGTTAGCAGAGCACTGGGCTCATGATATTCAGTATAGTCGATACAGTTAGCAGAGTACTAGACTCACGATATTCAGAGTATAGCTGATACAGTTATCAAAGCACTGGACTCCTGATGTTCAGTATATTGGGTACAGTTAGCAGGGCACTGTACTCATGATGTTCAGTACAATTGATATACTTGGGCAGTGAGCCACCCGACCTTCATCCCAGCCCTGGTACCCATGTCAGCTAAGGCCATTACTTTCCGCAAACATATCACAGAGGTCTGAATATCAATATGCATGCAGACCACATATGAAGCCGTCATCAGACCTCTGTGCTCTGTGGTTGTGCCAAAGAGAGTCGACCCCATTGGGGGGGGGTGGGGTGTAGCAGATGCAAACATGCCTAAACAATCACACAACAGACACTTTGATAACCTATTTTATATTTAGATAAAAGCAAGTTGCAGAAGTAGCTGGCTCCGTAATTCATAAAATGCATATATATATAGAATATGAAAGAGCCTAAAGACCATACAATGCTCTGCATTTTTCCATATATGCTCCTAAACATCTGAATGCCAGAGGTCTGCTATGTGTGCATGTTCATTTCAATTTATGCAGCATTTGCCACAAACAAAAGGACAACAATACAATAAAAACGATAGCTGCAGACCACATATTCCAGCTAGGACTTCATTCATTCTTCTGGCGGCTTTGTCACTCTGCTCACAGACGTCCTGACACAATAAATAACTGTCCACACAATATTTCCTTGTTCTGCCTGGAAATGATTAAGCCTCGTTTTGCCGTAAAAAAAAATCTGTGGTGGTGAAAGCCGCAGCAAATAGGAGAAAAAGGACGGATGCGAGACTTACTGTTCCTCGTTCTGAACGTTCAGTTTCTTCAGTTTTTTTTTGGGTGGGGGGGAAGGTTTACGGCCTTTTTACAAGACTCCCACGAGTCCTGACCATCACAACAGAAAAAAGATAGCACCATATGCAGGGACGGATTACGGACCGGGCCAGCGGGGCCGCTGCCCAGGGGCCCTTGGGGTGCAGGGGGCCCGTGGGGCCCCTAGCCCAAAACAATTTGCAACGCTTATCAACAATGTATTTTCGTTTGTCTATTTTAGAGGGCCTACATTCTTTGATCCTCTGCCTACAAGGGCCCCTGACCCTATAGGGCCTCTGATGGAAACATGGAGGGAGGGCGTTTGGCTGCCAAGGGCCCTTGAATTGTGGTGGTTGTGGTGGTGGTGCTGGTGGTGGTCGGGGGGGCCTCGCGAACGTTTTGCCCAGGGGCCCACACAACCCATAATCCGTCCCTGACCATATGGACAACACAACCTAAATGTACGCATAACTCAATTAAAGCCCCTTAATAAGACCCCATTAAGAAGTTTACCTTGACATTCATTCAAGTCTTTGAGGGAGCTTCTTGTTAATTCTAAGATGGCCTAATTCAGCCTAATCTAATTGAAAAAAGTGAGCCCGACTTTGCCAGCTATCTGCAGATTGAATCGGTATGTGTCATAAAAGGGGCAGATAGCAACCGCAATGGTATAAATAAGTGATAAAATACTTTCAGGAATGTGCCAACTTAAGTTGAAATGATAAAGACTTGATAGTGGACAGAGCTGTGAATTGTGCCGACAAAACTGGTTACTGGTCAGCCTGTTCAAGAGCATGATGGGAAATAGTCATGCTGCCAGTAACATTAGTCAAAGGGACTTTGTCAATGTTGCTACTACAATGTTTAAACTGCAATCTATGGAATAGTTTAATAAATAATTTCAGTTTTTTTTTTTATTCTGTTTCATTCTATTTGTAACACACACACCCCCCGAAAAACATTAATGACAGACTCCAAACTGGTCCAAGACAGCTAAGTGCTATTTGTACTACCATGTGAAACTTGATTACTATACATTGATGATCAATGCTGGGTTTAACTCAATGGTATCCAATAGGGGTGTATAAAGGGGCAGGCCAGAAGGGCACTGCCCCCAACTGAAAACTGATTGGCCCTGGGAGTGCCCCCTTTTACTCAATTCAAAACAAATGACTGGCTAATGACATGTTTGGCCACATTTTATGAATTATGGCCCCTCTTATGTCCCCACCCACCTTACAAAAATCCTAGAATCGCCCATGGAAACCAATGATATAACGTGTGTATAGTGTGGCGTTATTCTGGTTGTCTGCCATTGGCATGACAGCACTATAAAATAAGCTTGGCGCATTGAGTCGCCCCATCTTTGGAGATAAATGAGTCACAGAGGAGCAGGAAAAACCCTGAAGATGTGATGCAGTACAAACGTGAGCCGCAGGAGCATGAGGCCCAGCTGCCATTAAATATTAAAACAGTGACCTACTTGTGCCGTGTCACGTAAGGACGACATCACGGGGGCAGATGCGGAGTGACACTCGATGAAATCAGAGTGCCTCAGACTGCAGTCAGTGATGGCTCCAGGGCCGGGCTACCAACCCCCAACAAGCGATTAAAAGATCAAAACATACAGCACTTACCACAGCCCTCTGTACCGTGCTGCACGGAGAGTCCGGAAGACCGGATTGGGGGAAGTTGTGTGCATT